CAAGAACTCATCTCACTCCCTGTTATAATGGTTATCTACACATAATAGACTCGTCTGATATCTATATCAAAGGATGCTATTTTCAATGGGAATATCGAAAAAACTACAATATGACAAGAATTTCCAAATATCATAACTGAAATTGAATGTCTGATAAAAATCATCTATAATGATGTTCTGAATGGAATTCAAGATATAAAATACCACTTTTTGTTAAAACGACCCAACGAATTAGAATTTAAAATGACAGACAAACTCATTTTCTTTATTTCTAAAATGACCTGTTTTTGTCAACCTTTTATCTTTCAATATGATGTTCATTCATCACTATAAACTCTCGTATATAATTCTTCGTTATTACATATTTTCAACAACTTGCCCAGTATAAGATAAGTTTTCATTTTCAAAAAAAGATGTGTGTGATATGCATTTCATTCATTTTGGTAGTATATTATGAAGCTATTTATATAAAATATCAACGTTGTTGAGACTGCAGCTGAACAAATTCCCGTTGGAATATTCCATACAAAACGGCGTGTTTTTCTTGAATTTTGGAATACACCGTCGTGAATCTTCAAAGTCTTTCAAATTTACTACTGTTGTGTATATGTTGAATAGGCGCAGTCTGTCCAATAAATCCCTGAATATCGACGAATTCTAGCCTCATAATGTGCAACTATAGACTGAAAAAATTGAAAACTGCTGAGATTTGGAAATCGTTCTGGAAAGGTGGCTATGACAGTTTTGACTGTTGTTGTTGTTGAGATGACTCTGACTGATACTGCACACGTTGATTCATTATTCTGAAATAAATTCGATTTTTCAATACAAACATAAACTAAAAAATACTTTTGTCAAGAGAGAGGGTAATGTCTTTCATGAAGTGATTGCTACACTATAATGAAAATAAAAAATCAAGTTTCATTCAAAATAACGAATTCAAAACACATATTCTGCACGTACTAAATTAAGAAAAAATATTGTATGAAAACATCGGATCATATCAATGAATGGAAATTTTTGAGACTATCAAAAAATATTGTATCCAACCAAAAAAGTCTCTCTGCTCATTGAACGGAGAAAAAATTGGAAACAGTACCAACCTTAATTCCGTACAATTTCAAATGAAACGACACGATTCGGTTTCTCAATATCCATCAACACTTTGAACACAATAGCGTATTTTCCTGATGAAAATTCTTCTAAGTGAGGGCGATACGCCTCCGTCACTCGGTGGGGCAGAAATGATACTTTATCTCCCAAATCCAACAATTTACTTTTCACGATTTTCGCTGTGAATATCCTCTGCGGCATCTCCACAGGCAACTCTGCTACTTTGATACTTGGCTTCCTCTTCACGATCGAACTTGCATTCAATTTTCGTAAATCCATCTGGGAAAAATAAAAAAAAGTTTATGTTCTGATTCACAATATATGCGAATACTATCTCAAACAAACCACGACATGAAAAACATTTGACTGAAATCATCCAACATATATATCGAGAAAAATTTTGGAAATCAAATGATTCAATAATTCTCACCAACTTTCAATTAAATTACATTTGAATAAATTCATCTGAGGAAAAAGTCAAACCTAAAACACTTACTTTTAAATAGAATCGGTGCACTTATCACTGGCATCACTTTTAACGGGTTCATCTAACTCATTTCGCCATGCAGGAAGTATATTTATAGTAAAATAAGTGATCACATATTTCAAAACCAAATAGAGGAGCCTTTGTTTCGTCGCTTTGAGAACTGCGTATCTCCGGATGCAGATTCAGCATTGGCAGTGATCAATGTCACCGTGGGTATGAATATAAAAATTAGTGATGACATATTCTGAAATGAAACAAAGAAAACCAAGTAGCCTTTGTTAGATGCCTATTCAGCGTTGACATTGATCCGTGTCACCTTAGATATGAATCCATGTGATGATGCGACTAATATTAGTGAAGATACAACTTTGTGCCCTCTTGGCATCGTCTTCTTTTTTCTGTTCTTCGTCGATGAATTCTGCGTTCGTTTCCTTTTCATTTGATGTGCGGCACGTTGAGATCCGACTATCATTAACGGAGATATGGCTCAGTGTTCTTCCGAAATACTGCGCCATCTTGGTTTTTTCTCTGTCGATGAATTTTGCATTTCCTCCCCTTTCATTTGACGTGCTGTACGTGACGTTTCGACAATTATTAACGAAGATGTGGCCTAGTGTCCTTCTGGCATGTTGCGCCATCTTTGTTTTTTCCCTGTCGATGAATTCTGCATTTTTTCCCTTTCATTTGATGTGTTTCACGTTGAGACTCAGCTATTATTAATGAAGATGTGGGTTAGTGCCCTTCTGACATGTTGCAATTCTTATTCTTTCCTTTGACATGCTGTACGTGACGATCCGAAGTTTTCTCAATGATTTTCGTTGCAGTTCTTCCTGTGTTATTTCACATTGGGCGCTCGATATCATATTTTTTATAGTCTATAAATGAAATCATTTGAAATGAGTACCCACATCGACCTATTGCGACTACTATAGCGAAAATAGGTTATGGGGTCCTTTTGGCTTCGTAAAATGATCAACTATGTTTTTTGACATCTTAACGAACCCATTGATGTCAGAATCGTCGGAATAGGACGATCGGAAGTGAAAAACGGAAGTGGCATGTTTTTGACGGATTCGAAACCTTCTCACCCTAAGAAATCCAAAAATACCATATGTTTCAGTATACGATGATTTTCTCATTTTTTTGTCAACAAATTCTGCGTTTGGAATCAAACTTCTGCAATTGGATTACACTCGTTATTGTTCATAACCCAACAACTTTTGATTTCAAGTATGTTCAATGATTTCCTTTGAATGTGCAATTCTTCCTATGCTATTTCACATCAGAAGCTGTATATTAAACTTTTCATAATCTACAAATGAAATCATTTGAAATGAGTACCCACATCGGTCTGTTGCTGCTAGTATAATGAAAATAGATTACAAGGTCCTTTCGACTTCGAAAAATGATTAATTATGTTTCATGGCATGTAAAAGAGACCATTGATGTCGAAATCATCGAAAACGGACGACCGGAAGTGAAAACCGGAAGTGGTCGTTTTTTGATGGATTCGAAACCTTCTCACCCTAAGGAATTCAAATATATCCTATGTTTCAGTACACAATGATTTTTTCATTTTCTTTGTCAATAAATTCTACGTTTTGAATCAAGCTTCTGCAATTGAAGTAATACCTCATTAATTTCCATGAATTCCCACGGACGCCACCACCTCACATGCTGACTACGTCACTTTCAAGGCTTTAATATTTTATCACTATTATTATTATTATTCGACTCTCATTCTCCACTTCAATTTCATCTAGCACAATCAATCGAGCGATATTTGTTTTCTCCATTCTGATTAGCTGACCGACACTACTCTGTACCAGAAGTTAGGTTGATTGTTCCTCAAGGTTCGGTTCAGGAGTCTGAAAATTCGCAAAATGAATCTTCATATGACAAATCATGGACTTTAGTCATTTCCTGATGATGTTTAATTGGTTAACGGAATGTCTTAAATGATAAATGACTGTAATATTGAAACACGAAAAACCGTGACGACAATAAAGATGAAACAATAACGAATAAACGCAAGGAAAACAGTCGAAAACGTACGCACAACGGTCGAAAAACCACGCAAACGATCGAAAATGGTCGAAAACGCACGCAAAACGGTGGCACGCAAAACGGTCGAAACGTTTGTAAAACGGTCAAATACTTCGCTTTACCCATTTTCGAATGTTAACTCCACAATATGTAACTCCACGACACCTTTTGTGCCATCTCCTTCTTCTCCTGATGATGCTAATTTGGTTAACAAAGATACGAGACTCAGTGTCCTTCTGACATGTTGGAACTCTAGACTTCTGTTGAACCGACATGTTTTTTTCCTAAATGATGTATTTTGAAACGCCCTGTATACACATTAATATCATATTTTAAACCGACATGTTTTTTCCTTAAAAGATATATTTTGACGCACCCAGTACACTTCGACGCCATATTTGTTTCAAGTGATAAATTTTGACACACCTCGAACACATTGAGGGATCGCACGTTGAAAACTTACAGCCTCGTGGAACTGTTATGTTTTTTTTCTCAAATGATGTATGTGTTTTGACGCACCCTGTACTCTTCGACGCCATGTTTGTTTTCAATGATGTATTTTGAGATACCTTGTAACATTGAGGGATCGCACTTTGAAACGATACAGTCTCATCAATCTGTAATTTTTTTTTCTTAAATGATATATTTTGACGCACCCTGTTCACTTCGAAGTCATGTTTTTTCTTCTTTTAATGATGTATTTTGAGACACCCCGTATACAATGAGGGATCGCAGGTTGAGTTGTCATATTTTTCCTCAAATCTGATTCATTATTTTAAAATATATCATTTTCGCGCTTCCAATTTTCATCGAGTCTTTCACGCCTGATTTTGGAACCGGCAACACCTGCTTGCGCCAGCAACCGGTAAAACCTCGATACCATCTCCATCTCTCTTTGCCTCGATTACGTCACACGCGTCTCTCGCTCTCACACACACATACACATCTTTACATGAAATATTAATTCTTTCCCAAATCTAAGTATATTTTTCTATCTTCAACATCGTCCATAGATATTCTAATAAGTCCGCTCACTCTCAGCAGCGACCCAAATCATCACCCTCCGTCCTCGCGCGTCCCTTGCCTGGCCGGTCGGTCGTCAGTGCCCGTCTGACGGGGGAGCCAGTTTAACAGAGTGTCTCCGATTGAACAGTTCGCATCGTTCCGGCCAGTTATACTTAGTGCGTAAAATAAACATTTTATTGGAACTATTTCTTTTTATGAAAGATCCTATCTTTTTTTTTGATGAGGAATCACCTCTTTAAATATTTTACACTTATTCAGTTACACCCTGTATTGTAAATTCAGGTTGTATAGGTTGTATATTCTGTTTCAGACTTGAAATTGAGTAAGCATGCCTCCTCCAGCTGGACAGAGGTACAACATCAGCGTCTTCCAAGTAATGCCCAGAGCCAATCGGGTCGTAGTTGAAACCAGCAGTGGTATCGTTCCCGGCCCGAGAGCTAATCACAAAATCTATAATATTGGTCGAGTTCCCATAATAGCAGAGGCCAAATACGGCACTGCAGTCACGTGGATCGGAGTGGTAGACAAAAAAACCGTCAAGCCTGGAGAGGTCGAAATTCTGAGTTTCCAGAACCGGCCGTACTTCGTCACTGGAATTCAACTGACGAACAACGACAGTTATAGAGCGCTCGTTCACGTGGGACTCGAAGGAGACCGTTACCCTTGGTATGACACCTTGGAGCCAAACTGGAAGCTCAACATAGACATCAACGAGCTAGCCAAAACCCTTGTGGTGTTCGGAGTTGGGTTCATACCAGATGCAGGCCCCTTCCTGGCCCTAGTGATAGACTTCTTCTGGCCTGAAAATTCGCCTAATGTCTGGGACCAAATGAAGGACAAAGTGTCCCACTTGGTAGACTCCAAAACGAATGAGGTCATCAGGGGAATATTGGGAGGAGACATCAGGTACTTTAAGGAGAGAATCATAGCGCTGAAACGTGATATGGAGAGGGGCCAGGATGTCTCGTCTCACTATATGAACATTGCCGAGGACCTGATAGGTTTTGAGGAAAAATTCATCTTCAACACGCAAGATAACTCCAGGGCTGATGAAATAAACTATGTGATACTACCAATGTTTTCTTCGTTAGTAACCCTCAAATTAACGTTCTACCAGTTTGGAATCATCAATCGAGAGAAAATTGGGCTTTCCGCAGAACATATCGAGAGGCTGAAGGACTATATCTATAGACTGGTCGACGGACCTGATGGTGCTCTCAAGCATGTTAACAGGGTGTACAACGAACGTTTGGAGCACGAGCTGAACACCTGCAATCCAGATCACGTCCACGACGCTCTGGTTACAGTGCGTACTTACTGTGGAATGAATGGTCTTGAGTACATCCCTTATTGGAAGCAAATCATGGAGCGACCTGAATTCGTAGGCAAACCTTACAATCTAGTTTTGACCTACTCCACCGGGTTCGGTAGACCTACTCCTAGTCAGGCCAGGCAACAAATCGTTGAAAAGCTGCATCCACCCCTCCAACCTAAGCTAACCGATGGGAAAAGACATGTAATGACAGCAGTTGATGTGTGGATCTGGAGGGGCAAAGACGGAAACGGAACTCCTGTGATAGGGGGGCTCAAGGTCTATTTCGGAGAAGACGAGACTTACTCAATGGGGCGTTGGTCCGGAAATAGGCAGTGGATCTACTTCAAGGGAGCGAAATGCATTCGACTGACTGTATGGGGTGACAAAGGTTTGGACGCTTTGGAGTTTGCTTTCTCAGATGGACGAGTCATCAGTCACGGAACTAAAACGAGCATTCATAGGGACTTTGAGCTTGCGAAACACCATATTGCCGGAATCTACGTTGGCGCTGACTTCGCCGAACTGGGTGGGCAAGCTGCTAACATTTCGGTGTCATTCCAATTGACACATGTTGACTAGATAAATGAATCCCATTTGTGTTTCTGTTCTTATAAATAATGATTGGTGTGTCAGGTGTTTTTTTTTCTCACTGATTCGGCCGTTTGTTACAGTTCCCAAAAGAGCGGATGTATAAGATAACAGAAAAGTGATGTAGTGAAATTATAATATATATTCATGCACAGCATACACCCTGTATAACTTTAAAAACAATTCAGTTCAGTTTTTTGTGCCTGAAGACAATCAGAATAATTCGACCTTGAATAACGTTGATAGGGAAAAAAAAGAAAAGGAAAAAGAAAAGGGGAGCAAAACTTTTGAGCTCATCACTTTGTAAACTTGAAGAAACCAAAATATTCAATACGGGAATAACTATATTTGGGTTATCTAAAGGAATAACTCGCCCACAGTATTGGGGATTTTCATTAAGTACCCGTTCTCTTGTCAAATTCCAATCTTCAGGCCACCCAACAACTACGGTAAAAACCCACTTCCCAAAAATACCCTAGAGGGTATATCCTTCTAAACCTTTACCTTATTTTAGGCCTTCTTATTATCACCTCAAGTCGATATTGTGAACTATATCCTGGTATATCTCTCGCAAGGCTAAACCACTACACCCCGTATATCTCTGAATACGGTCTTCCGAGGAGCACATTATCTGCATGGAAAAGATCATTGCCTGAGTGAACTGCCTACAGGGGTTGGATCGTGCTGCTAGAGACTATTCTCCCATATCCCATGCATGTAAGGTCTTTCCTGTTATGTATTACACCCTCCCGCACGACCTTAAGCTCTTGATATATCCTTTCCTAAACAGTTTCAAGAAAATCAAACGAAATCAAAATAGAGACACAACCATGAATTGCTAAGGATATCGTTGAAGAAGGTATATTACTCAGAGATATTTATAATTTGAACAAGAGCCAAACCAATGTACATTTGTTGGGTCAATATAAGCCACTCTTAAAAAATCATAGACAAAAAATTGTGCTCTCAAAAAGTGAATACTTCAATAATCAATTCCTCAAGGCTCAACATAAATCTAAAGCTGCCTAGTCTATCATCAGGAAAATACTATTATCAACGATTCATCTGAATGTTTACCCAGCTATTTTGACATTGGCGATGGTGTACTTGTTGACGATGGTCCCGGTATATCTCATTCAGTGCAGTAATTAGTAAAAAATACTGCACCTGGTGGCATTGAAAATCGTTGTGTAAAAACTGAGAGTATTTTCCTCTATCCAATAGATGAAAACTGAACTCGTGGAAATAATTAAATTCGCATGTTCGAAAAATTCCAGTGGGGTTGAAGAATTGCCAGGTAATGTTTTATCAAGGGCTGCTTCGAAAATGATGGAACCTCTGATTTATCTAATCAATTTATCTTCCTCTGAAGGTATTTTTCCTTCCCGGCTTAAGCATATGCGATGGTCGTCCCAGTCTATAAAAAAAGCGACAAGCATATAATGTCAAACTACAGAGGTATTGCTTTACTATGTCCATTTTCGACAATATTTGAAAAATCACATCAAAACAGACTTGTGTCCTTTTTAAATAAATAGAATATCGTATCTGACAACCAATATGGGTTTCAAGTGGGCTTGTCAACCCAGGATGCCATCCTCTCTCTACATAATCAAGTATTATCAAACTTCGACAACGGTGACGAATCACTTAGTGTTCTTTTCGACTTGACAAGAGCGTTTGATACCATACATCATGGTCTTCTTGTTGATAAATTGTTTGACATGGGCGTCTGTTGTCCAAGTCTGAAATGGATTGAAACCTATTTAACTGGTCGTACACAGGTTGTTAAAGTTAGGCTTCAGACTGGGTCATTTTTCTCTGAATCTCGAAACGTTGTTACAGGTGTGCTCCAAGGTAGTGTTTTGGGGCCTACACTATTTATTTTATTTGTTAATGACCTTTCAAAAATTAATCATCCACAGTGCTCTATACAATTTGATGATGACAGATCTTTTACTGACTGTGGCTCGGAATGTGAAACATTGTCAGTAAGAGCAAATGATGCTGTATCCAACATGCAAAATTATTGCTCTAAAAATGGCATGATTCTAAATAATCTTAAAACCAACACCATTCTCTTTACAATTCAGGAAACTGATTGTAGTGTATTGGTTAGGTCTGAGATTAAAAGTATTGAACAGGTAAACTATAAAACATGTTTAGGAGTTTTTATTGATTCCCAACTCAATTAGAATCATCAAGTTGATTTCATACTGAAGAAATTAGCGACACATTGTTTCGTTATATGGAATCTGCGTAATTTTGTGTCTATTAAAATTCTTAAAAGTTACTATTATGCATATGTTTACTCTGCCCTCAATTACTGTATTATTTGTTTTGGCAACTGCAATAGAATCGGTGACTCATTAATTTTCCAGAAGGAGATTATTAGAATAATTTGTTTTAAAAAACGACTCGATTCCTGTAAATCACTAGTTGCAAAGTTGATTATATTAACTGTTACTTGCATGTATATTTTTAATTGCGTAATCTACGTTAAATCAAATTGCTCCAAGTTTCAGAACAGAGATGATACATGTCTTCTTTCGGGCTTCACCCTGAGAAAAAACTGTAACATTTCAATTCCTAGTCATAAGATGGACCTCATGTCATGTCAGTAAAACTGTACAACAAGCTCCCAATATCCATACAAAAATAACTAGTGTAAAGCTCTTTAAACACAAAGTTCGGAAACAACCATAATTCCCAGTCTATGTGAAATATATAAACTCCATCATTACCAGCGAACTGATGAAAAACAGAACGAATAAATTCGGAACTTACTGTTGATTTCCTTACCTAGGATTTTCATTTTTTTTTTAATTGAATGTTTAGTAGATATCGAGGTAAACATCCTCTGAATGTTTTCATCCAAGTAAGTGCACCGGATATTCAGGAATAGGTTATCAAGGTTGTGTAAATATAAAATTTGCCAATATTATTAGTTTAATCGCAATATAGATCGAGGCCTTTTGCCTTTATCGGTGGTGAGTAGATATTTTCAACACCACTCAACTACTTCAACAACACTTGTTTTTCCTATCCTGAAAAACTAACGAGGACATTTTTAAAGATAAGATCATTTCAATTTCTTGATTTTTAACTACATCACAGACTATAAAATAGGTGTGTTTTCTACAATTTGTCTATATAATTGATGACTTGTTTATTTTGTGGTCAACAATGGAGAATATAGAAATTACCGGGGTTGTCAAACTAATAAATTCAAGAGTAAACACCTACACGAATCGAGTTGCTCGTTTAGGGTTACATGTTTCGGGTTTTTAATTGATTTATTAGTTTCCATGGCTACCAACAAATTAATTGTCTTCCCTTTATTACATGCGTGTAGGATTTTAAAATCATCTTCACTTATCTTGTGTTTTGATTCTTGTAGATGTTCATACATTGTAGTTTTTTAGTCCAAACAGACATATTCACGGAGCCTTACATCAAAATTTCTACCGGCTTGGCTTGTATACACTGCAGAGCCATATTCAGGCAGAATTCTTTTCAATGCAAAACTCAAACGAGATATAATGAAATAATCACGTATATAAAGTGCATTCCATTAAAAACGAACCACTCTGAATAACTTTTGGTACAATGATTTGTAGTAAAAATAGAAAATACCTACAACAAACACATACTGAACCTAAACGAAGAAAAATGTTCCAAAATCGACAACCTCCGAGCTGAAACTATAAAATTTATAGCTAAAGAACTAGCAGAGGTAACTTACCTGATAAACTGGTCCTNTAGTTTGAAACTGAATCATTTGGAAGCAATGGAAATTAATAAACTTAAAAATTGGAACATTCTAATGAATGACCAACTAGATTTGAATAGATCACCATTATTGAAGAATTATTATTAATGTAGATGTGAGGTAATATGATTCAGGTTATCATAACTTGAAGAGGTACCTCAGGTAGAGGTTTAGGTAATTTACCTGTTGTATATGAATATCAGTGTAGGAAGCAAATTGAAGTATTCAAATCACTTGATAAAGCTACTGTGTTAGCGAAACATATTGTGATATATATTTTTCAAATGAAGTTTGTGGGAATCAAATCGAGAGGTGTAGTTTTTGAAATTGCTATGGATCTTCATTAAGTAACGACCGAATCAATCAGAAAAACAACGTTTAATCATAAGAGACAAATGTATAAGTATCACCTTTCCTGTTGGAGAATCTCATTAACGAGTTCAATTCTCTCTGTACCACAAAGTAGATTTGCGAATTTCTTACTATCTTTCTCATTCCTGAAAAAACCATAGAAACTACAAAAAAATATAATTTTTATCCGCTTAGTTGATTCTAAAACACACAAATATGTTTAATAATCAGACTTGATAGCTATTTACTCGACCTCTGAGATAACAGATACCAACAAAGTATAAAAGTTGCCAAAAATGTTGGCCAATCAACGGGAACCTGAAGTACTTCAACTTTCCACATTTGAACTCAGCCCACAAAAACTTATGTTTCAACCTCTTTTTAAATTTTTGAAAAGCTTCTCCAATCGAGTTTTGATCGAGTTTGTCACAAATTCTGACGAATGATCAATATGACTGATTTTAAGTCCTCTCAAACTAGCCACTTTGAAGTACTCAATATTTTCAGTAGAATCACGTTGATTGCCACTATAACACTATCATTATTCATCACCATCGCTTTGGTGAAACTATCCATGAACTTATTAACAGTTATTTCACAGGTAGAGGTCAGATTTTAAAAATCTCATCATGCTCATCAGAAGGCTAATTAATGAAAGGGGTACCCCATAGTTCAATACTGGGACCCATTCTTTCCTTGTACATGAATATTCCAACATGTATCAATAGGAAAAGAAAATTTACACTATTTGTCAATTATACCTAAATATAATGGAGTCTCAACAAGATTATAGACTTTGCTATCAAACAGAAATATATACTAACTGGTGCTATTCTAAACTGCTGTCATTGAATGTTTCTGGAATTAACTCAGTATCGTGTTAGGAATCACACGTTAAAAGGTAAGACCTCGTTAATCCTTAGCTCGCACAAGTTTCGACTTCTGAGGGTTGTCGTTCGTAGAGGTGCGACAGCTGGTTAACGGAAAAACAGATTTTTTTTTAAACAGATCATACTGCTATTTCGACATCATTTTGTTATCAATAAACAGTCAAGGAGAAATAAATGAAAACAAGGCCATTTCTAATTTTCTGAGGGTAATAATTGATCACATTGTTTTGCAGTTGGAATGTATAACAGGAACTTTAGTTTTTTTACTCCTTAAGTGGCTTATTTGTCACTCATGGAACTTATTTGCAGAGGGAACTCTTTTCTTGGGAGTATGTTGCAAAATCCAACTGCAGACTGTTCTCATCATCCATAAAAGGGCTATTAGGCTAAGATGTAGTAGATATTTTTGCAGATTTCCCCATTTTCATTCTATTCAAACAGCACATATTATAAGGACCTGAATATTGTTATCAGTTATCCCACTTCTGACACCAAATGTTACGTGGGTTTGTCTATAATTGACTACAGCTATCAAACTGCTACACTGGCAAGAGAACCAAACACTTCAACTGAAACTTCAAACTCCTATTCGAATTATTAAGTCACTTCGTACCGCACTGTCAACTAGACTCCCCAGATATGCGTGTTGGTAGTGTTCATATATGATAATCGAAGTTTCTCGGAGTCGATAGGGAAGTCGCTGGAAGTCAGCAGGGGATATATCCAATCATTCACCTGGCCATAGTAAAATTATGGAGTACACGTGTGAATTTTGGAAAACACAAAGCCTTGTTGTGTGGTAGCCTACTGGTTTCTAATATTTCTACTTCATATACTTGTTCAAACCAACTCATTTTACGTTGCATAATAGCTTTAAGTGCATGAAGAACATTGTCCACGTTATCAATGGGACTTTAGATTCTTTGGAACTATGTTATTATTATCATTATTTATATTTCAGGTTGCCCACAGACTTATTCGAAGGAGATACAAACTCTGAAAGGTTCCTCGCTGAACTTCAGACCAACTCCAAGCATACCATTCCTGAGCAGCCATACAAATGCGGAATAGAAACCAATCCGACCAAAAAGCAATACCCTTGGAAGGCCTCACTTTCCTACAATCACCTCAACTCAACCAGACCTATTTGTCAAGCCATCCTTATAAGTCCATCCCACCTCATAACACCTGCCCATTGCGTTACGTCTATGAAAGCAGGAACCGCAGTTCCAAGTGATTCATTGTTGGTTCATCTTGGAAAGGAAGATCAGGTGAAGCTATCAGACGTGGTTGTCCATCCAGGATACCAAGCTGGGTTCCTGGATCATGATTTGGCACTATTGAAGACAACTGCTCCCTTGGAGGTAACGGACCATGTGAGACCGATTTGTTTATTCGAAAGTGAAGTTAGAGAAAGACGTGACCTGGCGTTTCTGGTTGGGAACGAGATCGGGAAAGGAGACACCGTTGCAGAAGAGAATGTGGAAGCTGCAGCATTCAGAATCGACAGAGGGGAATGTGAGCAGATGAATCCGAAGTTGAAGGGTGTTTTGGGAGAAAACACCTATTGTGTTTCGTATCTACCAGGTGAGGTTTTTATAATGCTTCCTCACGGTTATAGGGCAGAAATTTATCTACTACCAGCTGGATGCATTTGTAATCCAACGCTGTTTCCTGTCAGCGGTGCTGAGCTCAGCTTTGTAACTAACCGTTAATCATTGAGTCTTCTATCGATTGATTCCTTAAGGAAATAATAAGAAAAAGAAGATGTAGAAGCATGTGTCCTTCCTCGAATGAAGAAAGTTCATTGTTAAGATTGATGACTTCATCTCGGAGGGATTTGAAACAGATTCTGGTACACCCCAGGGAAGCGTACTCGGTCCTCTAATTTTCCTCATTTTCATTAACGACCTTCTCATTCACATATCCCAAGGAAGGGTGCTTATGTATGCAGATGATACTTGCATTACTGTGTCAGATACTTCGTCTGTGAGACTTTCTGACAATAGTGACTACTGGAATTCGTCTATTCAACCTTCTGCCCCCCGAATTGAGAGATAGCAGAAGTACAGATATCTTCAAACGCAAATTAAAGAAAGTACTGGCCGAAGGATGCTTTTACTTCCTCCGTGAATTCGTACTTTTTTGTCGTTAGTGACTTTCGGTATCGACCTTCCCATATTTCTTCATATCTTGCTTTATCTTTGTGTGATTTTTCACAGGCGGTGGAGTATGCATCACTGAAATACCCGATTCAAATTCGGTTTTTGACTCGATGTTCCATAACATAACATAACAAGAATATAATCTTTCTTTTTTAAACCATCATTTGTGTATGTCATTTTATTTGTATGTATACATCAGACACAATTTAATTTGTGAACTTGAACTAATCCGATCTATTTATTGTCAATAGGATATAGATGCAATGAAATTTGAATTTGAATTTGAATTTGACGATTCTGTTAATATCTTAGGAGTCCTCGTTAAAGTAATGCCGTTCCTGCCGGCTTATCAGTTTGCCGCACGAAGGCAGAAATATTGGTCGGACAAATGTGAGAGGTAGTCATCCTCAGCTCATTACGTCTGTTCAGGGCGCATGTTTCACGGAGCCAAAGATGACTTACCCCAGGGTGTTGGGAGTTTTCATTTTTTGATGATGTTGACCATTGGTCAAACTCTATTTTTGTTAAAGGTGTAACCATGTACAACAATATTCCGGTTTATGTAAAAAATTCTGAAAGTCTGAGTATATTTAAAGTCAAACTCAAGAAGCACCTATTAACGGATGGAATTATATTGTAGTAACATTTTTTTTTTTCCGACCAGCTCAACCTTTGGAAACAATTAAAATGATAATGATATTTATTTAATGAGACAGGTGACTTCTTATGAGATATGAATAAGCACTAGCAAGTCGAAACAAAACAATGTTGTGGTTATGGTCCTGATGGAGTGCCTTTTGTCGTACTTAAGAAGTAGGCCAAAGAAATCGCATCAGTATTTTGCAGACTTCTCAAAGAAAAACTTGTTGACTCAAAAAATTCCGACGAACTTTCGGTAATCTCAATTTTTCTCATTTCAGATAACGAACATTGTGTCGGGAGTTCTGGAGACGGACTCATCTCTTCCAAAGAAGGGAGGTCCATTCTCAGAGGTGTGGTGCCACTAGGACTTTTACTACAGGGTGAGAAAGAATGCAAGGAGAACAGTGTTAGCGTTGTGACTGATGTTGCTAAGTACAAGAAATGGATCTACCGGATTATATATCAGTAACAACAGGCTTAATTCGTTTTATAAATTCACCACTTGATCAGCTGATTTGTGGAAACGGTTGTGATAACTGATTATATATTATTTTCATAATGTATCTATATATGATCTGTCTATAACGTCCGATTTTTTGAAAAATAGATGGAAAGTTATGTACTTTCTGAGTACGTTATTGTCATTTGTCACATTTGATTGTAATTCATCATTGTGCTAATGTTCTACAAAATTATAGATACATATCGAATATGACTTTTATTTATTCGAATATATTTGTTGGTAATAACTAACATTTTACATCGTCAGATATTGTGTTTTCAGTGAAAGAAATTGTCACCATACTTTCATGGAAAAATCTTCATTGGTTCAATTACGTGGGTTGCTTTTATAAAAATAAAACACTCCTTTCAGCAAAGCTCCTGTGAAATGGATTTTTCTACTCCTTCTACGCCGTTAATCAATTCATAACTCTGCTCACATTCCGTTATGAGTTTTCATTAGTCACAATTGATTAACATCCGAACCATTTCAGAGCGATTATAATCATATTCATTCGGTAATGCTGCTGTAATATTGCATTGGGGGTAAATTTCTCTGAGGTATTGATTTCCATCGGTTCACGCTACCCTCCAGTAATTATTTGCAGTAATTATGCTCATGGTTCCGTCGATCCGTAAAAAGTATACCGGTTGTCAAATTGTTCTACATAAAATTTGGGATAACTTTGATATCCTCTTTTTATAGTTAGGATGTGATTAACCACGAGAGATTTGAATTATGATATTAATCGAAAAAACTGCAAGAACTACATCTTATTATTTCAATTATCTTCTTCTACTTCATCGTTGTCTTCCGACCGTTGAAGTATTCCAAAATCCTTTTTTTTATCGTCTTCAACGAAATTAAAAATAGGATTTGTCTGATTTTTATTATAATTTTGAGCACGCTTTTATTAGCTTCAGTTTTTTTTAACTCCCAAGCTCGAGATCTGTATTTGTATTTGATATATATTCGCGGGCAGATGGCGCTGTACATAACTTCCTTGATATGTCAACATTATTGCTTGATCTGTTCGCGGGCAGATGACGCTGTACGCCATCATCATATCATTATACATTATACATCTTTATCCTGTATTTAGATATTAACTAACGAATAAAATTATCAAATATAATGTAACAGTTGATAAAAAATGAAAATCATTAATTACGAATTTTTCATTAATTCATGTTTTTTATTATTGGCATTAACATGAAATAATTCAAATTCATTTAAGTAAATACATGGATTGAAAGATGTTCCAATCTCAACTTCAATATTCTAAAACAAAAACGCTCAGTATTCAGAACTCCATCTTTTAATATTCCAAGTTCATAGATATCGAGATTGATGCGATTACAGGATATAGAAATATAAAACAATCTCCAAATACGCAAACTTTGCACAGATTACTTGCTGAGCATTTTACCTTAATACAGTGACCGAATCAAAGTTGCAATGTCAGCGTATAATTCTTTATAAATATTGAGGGAGGTCAATATCATAAACAAACAGTATTCAGATCTTTATTCGAGTATTTATTGATCATCAGCAATGCAACACATTTCCTTCTCTTCAATCCTGCTGGATGGCAGTAAAATGTAAGTTTTTGGTGTTTTAATGTATTTTTTTTACTAACCTTTGAGTGTGAGTTAGTGAAACAATCTGAATTTGATACCAATGTTGGAGAACTAGAATAAGCAGGTCTGGATCCTAATATAAATAGTTAGAGGGGCAAAATTCCCTTCACAACATCTATATGAAACAATGTGATAGTAAAATTTGATGCTATTTCATTTGTGTGATAGATTTCCAGTTTTCATTACTGGATACGTACAGTCTTTATGTGCGTTTTTTATACAAAAATTCAGTTCATTGAATATTTTCTTTTGACATAACGCGGCCCTAAGAGTGCTATATTACCATCTACGGCACTCTTACGGTATTGACGAGACACCGGTGTTGCTCTACGCTCCGGGGGATATTTAATCCGTTGTGGTGAACGAGAAGTGCCGAATTTATTGGAACTATTCGTTCCCCACCCTCAGGTTCATACAAGCTAATAAGCCTGATCATTTTTCTGGTCGATGAAATGGCAGAAGAGGTCCTACAGAATTGCCACCAAGGTCTCCGAGTCTCCTCCTGTAGATTTCTTTCTATGGGGTCATTTGAAGTCTGAAGTGTATGTAGAATCAACAACATTAGAAGATTTGGGAGAGAATATCATGAGGTATTGCAGAGATTCTCAACTATGTTGTAGCAGCAATGGAAGTTGGTTTGTACCATCGAATGGAAGTTGGTGGAAACGTTTATGAAAATTTACTATAGAACATTTTTTCTTCCCATTGTCCAGTCGTCTGATTTTGATTCAAGAATCAATAAAGAGTCTCTGAAGTTTTGGTCGACTTGTTTCATACAAACCGACGCCGATCATCTTATTGTTTCGCTGATTTAGCTGCCACTTCCTAAAGACTTGCATATTGCAACTATGACTGGTATCAATAACAACAATTCTGCAAAATATTTCACTAATCGATACGATTCGAAAATAATGCGGTATACCAATCAACCATCGGATGTTTTTATCCTAACTGAAACACCTGAGGGGTGGGTATTGTTTATCGGTGAAATTCAACTATAAAAAGATGTTCACGGTGGATGAGAATCAGAAGTGTCAAATTTTCGATAGAGTTTCTACTGAATACTTCAGGTGAGTACTATCTTTTACATTTATTAAAGTTAGTTGTTCCCTTCACTCAATCATTATTGGTAGTTTTTCAATAAACGATTCATGAAAAATTCATATTTTCTATTTCATATGAAAAACACTTCTGTAACTTTGATTTTGTACTTGGATTGTTGAAAAAGTGAGGCGAATGTGCGAATTTCGCGGCTACGTACATGTTTGGGAAAGCTCAATTGGTAATCCAGTTTAATTTATTTTGTAAATATATTTCGAGTTACATTAATACTTTGGAAGATGAAATCAACCATCAACAAATAAAAGACTTTTGTAATTAATTGTCTGAAACAGAAGATGTATCGTGAATATAGAGCAAACAGAGATCCAACGTTTGAGGCTTCAATTAATAAGTTTAACAAGAATATTCAAAATTTGATTCAAGAATACAGAACCCACAAATGGATTCAAATATGTGAGGCCATTCATGAAAAGAGGGGCAAATTCTATTGGAATGAAATATTGAAATTATCCAAATGCAAAAAGGATGGAGTACATATTGAAAATATTATAGATAACAATGTTGAATATGAGTTACCTTCCGAAAAAGCTTACATATTTGCTAAACACTTCAAAAAAAGCTACAAAGATAGCGTCAACTTGAACTTCGACCGCAATCATTATGAAAATGTGAGCGATTGGTACGAAAACTACTTTTCGCAGATACTCATACAAGAAAATAATACATTCAATGTAGATGAAGAAGAATATTTTGAAATCTTATATCAGGAAAAAAACTCAGCTCCAGAGCTTGACTATATCACAAGAAACATGTTGAGAAAGCTGAGATTCACAAGTATATCATGAAAAGCTATGAATTTTGCCTCAAAACTCATTATATACCTGACAATTGTAAAATTGGCACAGTAATTACAATTCCAAAACCAAACAAGGATCACTCCCTTACAGACAATTATCGTCCGATTACTCTCCTGCCTGTACTTGGAAAAAACTTTGAAAAACTTTCACGAAACCGTTTACTCCAACTGAATAATGATAAAATTCCAAGCTATCAGTTTGGATTTAGACAAGGAAGAACTACTGTACATCCTCTCACGAACAACACTGAAACAACCAAGCTGAACAACAACAAAACGGCAGCGATCTTTCTGGATATGAACAAAGCATTCGATGGCATCTGGCACTGCAAACTGCATCAAACTGCATCAACTGGTTGTTCTAACTATCTAGTACATACAATCAGGAATCTGTTAATTGACAAGAAACCGAGAGCTAAAATACTGAGTAGTTTTTCAGACGAATTTATCCCAGAACAGGGAGTTCCACAGGGTTCACCGCTCTCACCATTGTTATATAATTTACACAGCTCTGATATTCATCATCACCAACAAGCGGATATCAACCACTTCAGGCATGAAGCATAAATTCTCATGACACATGACACCGCCCTAATTGCGGACGATCAAACGCTAGACACAGTTATTAACAATTTGGAACATCTTGCAACAATAACTGGTTCAATTAATGGAGGTTCCAGCCAAACCCATCTAAGTCTCAGTTCATCATTTTCAATCATCGGAACTTCTCCAACAATCACCGTTTTCCAACATATCTTACATGCCACATCGACAGTTGATTACCTTGATTCCAGACTAAATTTCAACAGCCACGTCATCAACAAAAAAAAGAAAGTTATTGCAAGAGCCGCACATTTCACAAGTAATGACAAACCCGGGAGCAGGTGCAAACATATCGACAGCAAGCCGAATATTATTTCGAAATTTTACACATAGAAAATGAAGGTTTGAAGCTATTCCATTCGGAATATATGAAAATTGATAAACTCAAAATTTAAACATTTTGCTGGATGAACCAGAAACATCTGGGAACCAGAACCTACAGTGTAGGCAGTTGGGAGAAATAATTGTTTCGAGATTATATTTCGGAATATTTATTCATTTTTTCCTGTTTTATAGAGCGCTTTAAGCAAACATTTCTAACTTTCTAGTGGGAAAGGTAACATTTACACTAGATGATTATGACACGAGTTTTAAAAAATCTAACTGATATTACACTTTAATTTTTTTATGTCAGTGTTATCTGAGAATATCTACGATGGAGATTTTTTCCAAAACCCTCCATTTATAAACCCCGATTTGTTATATCATATTTTGAAACGTACGACTATATATTTTTTCAACAGTTACAGCAGTCGTATTGCACACATGTCCGAGCTGAGCTTCAAAAAATAAAAACTATAGAAAAACGTCACGTAATTGCATGCTTTCATAACACCAATCATTTTGTTCTGTTCTGTTCCAATACAAGTAAGTGCTGTTTCAGGTACTCACGCATACAATGTTCGACTTTGGATCCGCAAAGAGATACAACATCAATTGTTTCCAAGTTCAACCAAAAGCAAACCGAATAGTTATGGAACACAATTCAGGCATTTTTCCTGAAACCAGGCCCAACTTCCGACTCTTCAATATTGGCCGAGTACCAGTGAGAGCAGAGGCCAGATATGGAACTGCATTTGGGTGGTTAGGAACGATATCCGGAGCCACCGTTCAGCCCGGAGAATCAAAAATTCTAGACATGGGAGGCAGATCATACTACGTCGTAGGAATTTATCTGGCTAATGACGATAGCAACTGNTAATGTTGGGGCAAAAATTCAACAGCTGAATATTTGCAGGGGCGGAGGGGTGGATGTGAAAATGGGTGAAAAACGGTTTTTCGCGGTTTGCGGACAAAATAATTGTTTTAGAGAAAAAAGTTAAATGAGAAAGTTGTCGAAAATGAAAAAGTCTATAACATTTTTATTCATACTTTTTTCACATAACCTCAAAATTTTCGAGTAAAACGCAAAAAAACACTTTTTTCATTTTTTATTTTTCATTTGACGAAAAAAAGGCGTATCACTATGAAAATTCAAGCAATTGTACTATTTTTTATCACAAATGAGGAGCATTTTTTTTGCGATAAGTTAATTAGTTTCTGAGAAATTCGCGTTTTACGAAAAAAAAAAACATTTTTTTCAGTTTTTCAGTTAGTCAAAAAGGTTTCTTTTTTTCGGCCTAGACAACATTCACACCGCCAATGTTTTTCATAATTACATCAGCTTTTAGATGAAAAAATAAAAATATACTACTTTAGGCAAAAAAAAAATCGTTTAAAATGCAAACAACTGAAAAATTGTTCCTGTTAATTATGTACACTCCCTAATGTACACGATTAAACTGTCGTTGGTATTAATTCGCTCTTTTCCACCTACAAATGTTAATTTGAATTTTGTAGTTCATGTCCAGAGATCAAAGCATCATAGAGGGGGTATTTATTGTTAGAATTACAAATTTTGGAGCAACAGCTGTGCTTCGAAACAATATTTGGGTATGCAGCAGGCCAAAACTTAGTGTACTCTTATAACAAAGATTCCAAGCTTTCGATAATCTTCATTATCATCATCAGGGATGCTACAATAAGGATAAAAAACAGTCATATTCATAAAATAATAATTCAAAACAACTTATAGTGTATGTGAGGTTATATGGCAGGTCTGCCGAAAAACATTACGTTCAATTCAAAGGTGCTTTCTGTACAAGATTGAGTGTCTGGGAAAATGGAGCTTTGGATTACTTGGAGTTTGCATTTTCTGACGGCCGCGTTATGGGTTTTGGTGCCACAACACAAGCATGGAATGTCCACACAGACTTCCAACTCGAAAATCATCATATAGCTGGTATCTTCTTGGGCAATGATGTCGCAGGGTTAGCTGGTCAAGCTGCCAATATAGCAGTGTCGTATCAATTGACACCAAAGGAATGAATTGTATTTTCCGAAACGTATTTAAAACTGAGTTTATAAATAATAAATCGTACATAACATGTATTATTTTATTCATTTCACCTCAGTTTCAATTTCAAAACAGTGAGTTCAATGAACCCAAAACCATCTAAATTTCACAATCACAACTTTAGTCCCAATAGAAATTCCAAAATATTACATAAAATAGATAATAAAAATTTCCTTAGACTTGACTTGTTTGAAGATGACGTCTTGGTTACTGTGCGGACATATTGTGGACTCAACGGTACTGAATACTTCGCTTACTGGAAGCATATATTGGAACACCCAGAATCAGAAACCAAACCTTACAATGACGCCATAACCTACTCCACAGTGTTCGGCAGGCCAACTCCTATCCAAGCCAGGCAAATTGTTCCGGAAGAGGTGCAGCAGCCGCTTCAACCAAAACTAGTCAACGGAAAACGCAATAAGATATCAGGAGTCGATGTCTGGATATGGAGGATCAACTATGGAGATGGCCCTCCCAAAATCGGGGGACTCAAGGTCTATTTCGAGAATGGAGATACGTATGAATTGGGAAAATGGTCTGCCGAGAAACATTACTTTCAATTCAAAGGTGCTTTCTGTACAAGATTGAGTGTCTGGGGAAATGGAGCTTTGGATTACTTGGAGTTTGCACTTTCTGACGGTCGCGTTTTGGAATGTGGCACCAAAGATGACGCTCGGGGTGTCTACACAGACTTCCAACTCGAAAATCATCATATAGCTGGTATCTTCTTGGGCAATGATGTCTCAGGGTTAGGTGGTCAAGCTGCCAACATAGCAGTGTCGTATCAACTAACACCAAAGGAATGAATGGTATTTTTCGAAATGTATTTCAATAAATGATTCATTAAAGGTATTTTTATATTCATTACACCTCAGTTTCAACTTGGGAAATAGTGTTTATCCGAAACACTATTCTAAAGACTGGCTACAAATATCACAAACATACAGTGCGGTCCATATGTATAGAATAAATTCATTTTTAGCGTTATTATGTACTATGTGAAAAAAACCTGAAACAGGTCGATTTTTATTCATAAATTTACAATTTACAGTATGAAAATATTATCCCCCTCCATCACCTTGTCTGAATTATAAGCACCCCCTCGAAAATTCTAAATAGTATAGGGGGTCGTGTGGCACCTTGTTGGAAAGGGATTTTAGTCCTCTGTTCAGCAATATAAAGTTTTTTGAGTTTGGTGCAATCATAACTGAGAAAATTGATTTTTAGGATGTAGCATTTTGATAATGTCTCTAGGTATCACAAAACTTTACGTAGAATCAAGATAATAATGCCACATAATATTTAGACTTAATTTTTCAATGTACTTTACATTTAAATTAAATGTTCAAAATGACCACCATTAACTTCTTGACAATAACCGAGGCGATTTTGGAATTCCTATACATTTTGTATGATCTCAGGGGTTATTTTGTTAATTTCTTCCGTTATCCTAACTNGGTAAGGTCAACATCCTTCATACTTATTTTATTTTCAAGTTTTTTTTGCCACACAGTTCTGGGTACGTTTTAACCTTTCACTCCCATGAATGCCCATGAAAGTGTATAGAGCTTGTCTGTTGTGGAACTATAAACACCTATTTGGTTGGCAGCAAGTGGTATATATACCTAAAGTGGGTCGAGAGGATACTGGACGAACAAGTCAGAAGGGGGGCATTATTTGCATCCCTCCTGAATAACCACCAATAGGCTGATCAAACCGGCATTGAACAACCTTGTACAGGAAATGTTTTAATTCCTTGATAAAAAGGAGATTGCGGTTGCTGTATTTCTAGGTATTGAAGGAGCATTTGACAATGCACTACCTCAATATATAGGATCATCATCATCTCTGGCTAGGAAATCTATAGAATCGACCATAACTGACAAGATCTATGCCATGCTGGTCAAAAGAACTGCAAATACGACTTTTCGAAGCGAGGCCATTAGATTCAGGGTCATATCTCCGCTTATGTGGTCGCTCCTGGTGGATAGTCTGCTTGATACCCTCGACAGAAGAAAAGTAGATCTGCAAGCTTATGCAGAAGACCTTATCATCTTGGCAAACGTGTGCCGTTCCGATCTCTGCTTGTATGGTAAAATATGAGCTCTCTCATCTATGGGGTAGTTATATAGGCAGGTAGTTCATGATATGTCCATTTAATGAGTTGGTGAATTTTTTTTCATGATGTTCAAAAACTTTCAGATAGTTTTCACCTGAACTCCAAATTTTCCAATTCTAATGGGAACTCGACGTGATTCCTGATATATAAAGTGTCATCCTTCATGAACAGCATGACCAAACAACCAGAAAAATATAAAATGATCAGTCAGTCAGTATCAGTGGCATAACATTCAATCTATTAAATAAAATCTTTGATTTCCATGGACTCTTCGAGAAATTGACAGAGAAAGATTCAGATTGATTGACATCGATTCAACTGATGAATTCGAGTGAAAACTGCATATTAGTTGTTAATTTTTATCAATAACTTTATTCCTCACTCTTCATACAAAACATTTGGGAAAGAAAGCAAATAATTCCAAGACGACAAAAGGATTGCTCCGAATTCTTGGGGTTCTTGGGGTTCTTTGCTCATTCTTCGTGAGCAAAAAAATAGTAGAATCAATACTCCTGACCGCTCTGGATTGAATGATTCCGCACAGTCTGTCTCGTCTTGTGTTTGCAAATCTTTTGCTGGAAAAATCCTCACTTGTTCACTTTGTAGTGAATGTTGAAGAGTTAGCAAAAACGTATGTGATTTTCTGAAACTTCAACTGTATAGCGTTTCCTAATATGACTGATAACCAGCCCGTGAAAAGCTTATTCTCGAATCATCTGAAAATGGAACTTTCAACGGGTCATCATCAACTGTATTACCAAACATGCGTCAAACTACCTGTCTTTTATAAGAAAACAAGTATATCTGAGGCACCAGTTAATCTAATAATGACACTGATGATCTTCAAACTTGTCTTAATTTATGACGGATGCACCAAACTCTTAAGATAGATGAACACTTTAATCTAGGAGACCACTATTATAATATTCATGCAATCATTGTTCACTGTGGTTCTGAAGTTGAATCTGGTCATTATTACGCATTGGTCAAAGATAAAATGGACTGGTTTAAGTTTGACGATAGTCGTATCACTAAGTATTCTGGAGACACCCTATATTTTGTTTTATGGAAGAAAGGCCATTGGCACATCAAGATCTTTAGATGATGTGGTGCTGCATGTTTTTCCAGGTTTTCCTGCAGCTGAAAAAGCAAATGCGCCACTGGAATCAATGAAGTGGCACCGGAGAGTCAATGAATTTTTGTTGTTACATAATTTCATGGTTTGTATTACTATCTTCTTTAATATAATTGAAAAATAAATTTTTTGCAAGAACTTTCTCATTAGTCAGTGGGCTATGCTTGTAGAAACAAATCTAAAGAAATCAACCTTTCCCCTGGCTAATACCACGAAAGGCGTTGGATTATATCCAAGAGGCGTCAGTGCAGGAATCTTTACAGAAAATTCTCTGCATATGCAATTGGCAATACAACTGAAAGAGTCGACCTTCAATTTTGGAACGGGCACACTTGCAGATCGGTTTCGGGCTTCTCATATTCAATAAACAAATCTGAAGAAATGAACTTTGAATGCTCAAGCCTGTCCAGTTCATTCAACCTACTGCGTAGGTATATCCGAGACAGACCTGAACATTTAAAGTTCACTTCTTTAGATTTTTTTACAAGAATGTGTAGATAAAAGCTTTCAGTCACAAAATGGAATGAAAAGCCCTTTCAAAACAACTACCTTCATGAATTGAAGGGGTTATATTTTTTTTGAAGTGATTAATTTTTGGGAAAGAAAGTTTTTGGCTTTCTACTACTCCATCTTGATACGAAAAAAAAGAAGGATGAGGGAGTCTTCCTTGTATAGAGTTACTTCCTTCCTTAGTAGTTAGTTTAAGCCGATTTCAGAACCTCCCCCCACCACTTTCAACCTTTTAGTATTTTCTACAATATATCTTTTCTTCTTTGATCAATGCAAAATCAGATTTTTTTAGCGGACTTCCAAATGAATATGTATACAATCATTTAATTTTTTAACGACTTTTTTTGAGTATTTGTTTGAGTTATTCCTTTTTGATTATTTATTTCTTAACTTCTTCGACAGATGTTACTCCTTTTGACATCTTCGACAGATGTCGATGTTGTAATATATTGGCAGTAAAGAAATAATTAATCAAAAAGGAATAACTGCCAATATATTAGAATTTTTATTTCCAAAGAAGTAAAGAAATAATCAAAAATAAATAACTGCCAATATATTAGATTTTTTTTCATTTCTGAAGACGGAGGCAGATTTTGGCCTCCGCAACGTTAAGATAAGTATTGCATTATTTATTCAGCTATGCATTTACATTTCCTGCAATAACCTAATTCCTTGAAAATTTCACCATAGTTAATTTTTAAAGTGCATTTCTCCTTGTTCAAGACACATTTCAGCTCGTTAAATTGTTTCTCTCAACACGTTTCGTTACATTCGAGGCGTTATACTTCTAAATGCGTGTAGAATCCTTTCTTGATATTTCTAAGGCCTTTGACCGTGTATGACATGAGAGTTTGCCGGCAAAACTTCGATGCTTGTCGGATTATTTCTGTGTAAGGCTCTTCAGCTTCCTGAAAAAACGTTCCCTGCAAGTGGTCGTCGATGAATATCTCTCTAATACTTTCATCTTCAGGAATCTCCTAACTATTTCAATAAATGGCAATACGAAATGAGTAAAAAAAATACAAAGGAATGCTGCTTGAAGCAAAAAAAAATATTACTCGAATCAAATATTCCTTTCCAGCAATAAAAATAAGACAATCTGGAAAATTATAAACAACGGAAGATGCAATGACTTGTTCGATGCATCATCTGTTTATGAATGTTTAAGAATATTGCCACACCCGAAAATGTTTCAACTAGGAAAAAGTTAACGGTTTTGCTTATTTTTGACAGATCCCCTTTATTTTAAAAAACAAGTTCGGTTAATTGTCATCAATTCATGTATACAT